ACCTGGGTTTGATTCCAAGCATCCCATATGGTTCCTTGAGCACTGCCAGGGTTAATTCCTGAGTGCAGAGCCAGAAGTATCTCTGTGCATTGCCAGGTGTGACCCCAAAAAGCAAAAAAAAAAAAAAAAAGAGAAAGATAATAGAAATGAGAGCCCGGAAGACTGGTCCTGGTAGGAAGCTGCCATTAAGGGAAAGGGGAGGGCAGTAGGACCAAGAAGAGACTACTATGACTATGCTAGTTGGAAATGAATCACTTAGGACACAAACTGAGTGCTTAAAGGAGGTAAAGTAATACACATGATACCCTTTCAGTAATAGTATTGCAAACTACCAGTGTCTAGAAGGAAAATGAGAGAGTGAAAAAGATAGAGAAGAGCAAGAGAGAGAAGTGTCTGCCATAGAGGCAGTCTGTGTGGGAAAACCAGGGGGAGGCAGGTCGGAAGGAAATTGGGGACATTGGTGGTGGGAAATAAATTTGCACTATGAAGAGATGGGTATTGGAACATTGTATGACTGAGACTTAATCATGAACAACTTTCTAACTGTATATCTCATGGTGATTTGATCATTTTTTTTAAAGTTTGGGGAAACATATCATGATGTGGATAACATATCTTGAAGCCATTTTTTTTTGTTTGTTTGATTTTTGGCCAAATCCAGAGGTTCTCCCGAGGTGCTCCTATTTATTGCTGAGGATCCCTACAGTGGTGCTCAGGGACAATGCAGAGTCAGGACTGCATAGTTTTAGCATGCAAATCATGCTCCAACCCCTCGAGTTGACTCCCCAGATAGGGTCACGTTTTAAAAACTACTTAACACTTTGGTATCTCTTCATATAAGGCAGTGAAATACTCTGAAAATAGCAGTAGAGTCGCTGTCATGTGGGACACTTTCTAAGACTTGATGCTTCCTTCTGAGAGGGTTATTAAAACACTTGGTTTTTTTTCTCATCTCTTTACCACTAACTTTAATTGAAAGGGATGACTTCTCTCCAGCACATTTGTGAGAAAGTTTAGTCTGAAAAGAGCATATGCATTTTTTTATGCAGTGAATCTGATTCAGAGCAAATAGTCCTTGTAAAAAAGCCGTTTGCTTTGCACAGGAAGCCCTCACTCCATTTTATGTATTTATGACTTATTACAATGATATTTTCCCTTACCAGGTCCTTTCACTTTTTTACAGATTTGCTCAGAATTTATAAAGGGAAAGAATGTGCTATCTATTGAGACTCTCTGGAGACTCCAGTAATGATATCAGCCAACATTTATGGGGAGAAGGAGTTCATGTGTGTAGGTTCCCAGTTGTTCTGGAACTGCATTATGGTCTAGGCTGTCTTGGTTCTTCAAATGTAACATTGCATATAACTATATTTTTATAATTTTAGTTTCAATAAGAAAAAATTTCATAACAAGTAGCATCGAATTAAATTAAGTTATAGATAAATGTGTTTTTATTTTTGGATGAGGGTGTTTTGGGCCACATATGGCAGTGCTCACAATTTATTCCAGTCTCTTCACTTACGAATAACTTCTGGAAGAGTTTGGGGGACTATATTGCGTCCTTGGGATTAAACTCAAGTCAGCTACATGTAAAACTTTACCTACTGCACTATCTCACCAATTCTGATAAATTAACTTTAAAGAAATGAACTTTTATGTAGAATTTTATGTAGAATTTTTATGTAGGACCCAAACCATGGCTTCCTAAAGACTAAACTGATGTTAAGGATCTGCTTTTAAGATTACTACACGATTATTCATAAAAAACTTAAGTATTTCATAACATTGACTTTTCCAATGAATTTCTCTTGATAGGATATCTTGCTTCCCTGAAAAAAAATGATCTAAAAGAGAGAAGAAACAAGATGGGAACCATAATGATGTGTGTAACCAATATCAAAAGTGACATACTAGTGCTTCATCCTACAGACTAGTCCTGCCACTATGTGAGTAGTGGTTACCAAGACCCCCTTCACCCCTCAATCCCTACGTATCCCTTTCTCATTTCTTTCCACTAGAAGCAGGTATCACGGAAAGATATACTGGAGGAATGGATTTTAGAGTAAGATTACTAGGTTAGAGTTTGAGCTCTTTCACTTAGTAGCTGTTTGTATGTCCTTAAAGAGATCTTTACCAGTTTCTCTGCTATAATGTCTAAGTAGGTCACCATTTTTGCCTACCAAGCAGTCCTTTCTTTGGTAGTACTGTTTTTGATTAAATAACAATACGCTTCTGGAAGCCATTAAATATAGGAATAGTCTAGAAGCAACACACTGACCTTTGAAATCATTAATGAATTAATAGGGAAGATATTTTATGCTTTCAAGTATCACTAATGAAGTCTCAATTAAGTTCATTATCCCATAGCTGATTTGAATCACAGTGAAATACACAGTTACAAAGTTGCTCATGATTGGGTTTCAGTCATATAGTGTGCCAACACACGTCCCTTCACCATTGTACATTTCCCACCATCAAAGTCCCAGTTTCCCTGGACACACTCCCCACCCCACCTGCCTCTGTGGGAGGCAATTTTCTTCTTTGTCTCTGTCTTTCTCTGTCTCTGTCTTTCTCTGTCTCTGTCTCTCTCTGTCTCTCTGTCTCTCTCTCTTTCTTCCTTTTGGGCATTATGATTTACAGTACTGATGGAGAAAAGTTTTCATGTACATCCCTTCATCTGCTTTCAACACTCCCATACCTGAATTTTCTGTTACAAAAAATGACTAAAGTTTTCCAAATTTTTTATAAATATTTATTTTACAATTAGCGGAGACATTGCACTATTATAGTCACAAAGTTTCATGAAAATTTAAAGTAATAGTTCAAGGGAGTTAGAGAGATAATGCATTGGGCAAGGTACTTGCATTGAATAACCCAAGTTCTATCCCTGGCAAGTGGTCCCCTAGTTCTATTCCTGGCAAATGGTCCCCTGGACACTCCTGGGAGTGACTCCTGAATGCAGAGACAGAGGTAAGCTCTGAGCACCGCTGGGTGTGCTTCTCCCCCAAAGGATGATAGTTCTAGGCCTTGTAAATGAATAGTAATAACAAATGTGTAGAAATTTTAGGGCACTCTATGACTTGTTGGTACTTTCTTCTTAATTGCATTGATCGTTTTAACACCTCATTATTACAACATATGTATGAAATAAATTCACTTACTTGATTTGTAAATATTTTAGGAACTTTATTAATTAAAATAATGCTAAAACTCCCTGGTAGAATTTAAATGATTATGCTTTTGAGATAATGATCTTTTTAAGAAATTAGAATTATTCCTGAAGCTTGAAAATAAATTATATGTGGTGAACCCTGTATCCCTTTCTGTGATATATATGTAAATATATATATATATATATGTATACATATATGGATGGAAATACATCTAGTCAAGTTAAGAAGTAAAATAATTAAAATGTCACTTGGCTTTCAATTATGGCCATTTTATGCTAACAAATCTTAACACTAAAATAGCCAAGACATACAAATTTTGAAATACAAAATTAAATTTGCTCTATGAATGGTAGCAGTATTAAAGTTAAGAAATAAGGCAGTGTGTGGGACTTAAGGAAAAGTTTGGGCTAAGATAAACTGATAAATGGGGCTAGAATGATAGTGCACCAACTATTGCGGTCCCCAACACCACATATGGTTGTCCCCTGAGCCTGGCCAGGAGTAATCTCTGAGTGCAGAGCCAGGAATAAGTACCTCCTGGTATGACCCCAAAGCCAAAAGAAGGTATACTTAGAAATATACCTTAAATTACCAAATTGTTAATCAAAATATATAGTACTAATACATATTAGTATGTATTATTGCATATATTCTAATATATATATACATACATATTTATATATAGGTGAAAAAGTGAGTTCAATAATCGGTAGCAACATAGCACTGTCCTCCCCTTGTTCATCGATTTGCTTGAGGGGGCCCAGTAACGTCTCCATTGTGAGACTTATTATTACTGTGTTTGACATATTGAATACGTCATGGGGAGCTTTCCAGGCTTTGCTGTGTGGGCAAGATACTCTTCGTAGCTTGCGGGGCTCTCAGAGAGGGGTGGAGGAATCAAACCTGGGTTGGCCGTGCCAGCCTAGTGCAAGACAAACGTCCTACCGCTGTGCTCTATTTACTAGAGTATGTGAGTAGTCTCCTATTTATATTCGAGAGAGGAATAAATGTAGCTATAATTAGGTCTGTATTTCTGTTTACAAGAGTTAGTTGAGTGTGTTTGAAGTCAAAAGTTTCTAGGTAGATCAAAATGTTCTCTTAGTTTCTCCTTAGTTCCTAATAGGTTTGTCCTAGTGATAATAAAAAATACTAAAAAAATTAAATCAGGTGTCATGCTATATTAGTAAATTGAGATGTTACATAGGTACACCTGGTATGTATGAAGGATTGCTAAAACTAAATATACTTCATAAGATTTCAATAAACATTCCCAAATAGGCAAGATACTCTTGACTTTCCAATACACTGCACAGGTTCATTGGAATTTCTGTGGTTAAATTAAAAATTAATTTCTATCAGTTGTGCATTTTAGATTTGATAGTGAAAAGGATGCCAAATGACAGAGGAATATCTATGTAATGTAAAATGAAAAGTGATGAAATATTGCATGGATTTTGTATTAAGATTACTAATATGTAGTACTCCTTCCTCTGTTTACTGGTCTTATGACCTTAAGAAAAGCCATTTTGCCTCATTGTTTCTGAATTTTTTCATTTGTATAATGGGTATTTTATTGGTTACTTTAAAGAGCTATGTATAAAATTTTTGAGTTCTTGAAATGTAAACAATCGTTAAATATAAGAATTGAAAAAAGGTTGTATGTGTAGATATAGTCTGGTTTTGGTTCTAGGGGATAGTTAAGAGAGGATGGCGTGGGAGTCGGAAGACTAAGAGAGATATGAAATAATTGAAATAAATTTAAAAGTGTTTCAGAGTCATCAGTGGATAACATCATTCGAGTTTTTTAATGAACTGAATGTAATTATCATACTTACCAGGCAGAGGAGATACCATGGTTACGAAGGTGGTTTGCCCAGGGTGAGGCTTACCCATTGCACTCCAGATGTGCTGACCCCTGCAATTTCCACAAATGTGGGAAACTCTACTGCATAGTTTGTGGGAATGGGGGACTGCTTTCTCTCCTGAAGAAAAAAATGTGATTGTAAGTTATCATCTAAGAAAGATTAATTTAGACTCACTTTTCCAAGTTTCAAAGGAAGCAGTATGTTGTTTACTTATCGAGTGAATGTGATTAAGATTATAAATTCCACATATAAGTGCTTCTTCTTCTCCCCAATCTGTAGTTTATTTACTTACATTTTATCTTTATTGTACTCTTTTTGACAAATCAACTGGTGGGTCAAAACATTCCCCTTCTCAAGTGTAAATTAGAAGACTTTATTCTGTGAGACTTTATTCTCTCTCTTGTTTATACTGAGAAAACTAAGGGAGATGTTTCTTTCTGACATATTTTAAGCTCTCTTATTTTACCCTGGTCTGTGTCAGTCTAACTGATTACACTTAGGCATCTGTTTCATCTACGTTGTTTTTAATTTTTAGAATTTCCTTTCTGTTTTTTGTCTTAGAATTTTCATCTTGTTATATGATCTATCCAAGTTTTGGATGATGCTTACTCTTTCCACTTGATATCTCCTTACATGTAAATCATAATTTGTTTCATGAAGGCAGAAGGACATTCAGGAAGTACTCAGGGATCTACAGACCACTCTCAAAGCAATAGGTCTGGGTGGCTCAATATTAGAGTTTGGCAATGACCTAGCAGTGTTGCAGGCTACAAGAGCCACACTTAGAGGTGCTGGGGGCTGGGCAGCACTCATGCTTAACAAGCAGTGCTGGGGGTGGACACCTGTTGCGGAGAATCTTTGCTTCTCTGTCCCTTATCCCCCGTGAGTCGGCTCCCTGACACTGAATCATGGTGATTAAATTAGCTAATTAATTTTTTTTGTTTGGGACTACATCTGGCAGTGCACAGGGCTTATTCCTGGCTCTGAGCTCATTCCTGGTGGGGATGGAGAACCCTTTGGAGTGCTGGAAATCTAGCCTGGGTTGACTGTATGCAAGGCAAGAGACCTGTCTGATGTACTATGGCTTTGGCCCTAAATCATGGGTAAAGTCACTAGATGATAATTCAAAAATCTGCATCAGGCCTGACTTTGGTGCTTGTTTTGCTTTTCCTTGGCTTTCTGCATGCCTCGATCACCATTGAGTCCATTTTCTGCTCCCAGGGAATCAGCTTCAAGCAACTCTCAACTGTCACTCTCACTGTCCTCCCCCTTGTTCATCGATTTGCTTGAGCGGGCCCAGTAACGTCTCCATTGGAGACTTTGTTGTTACTGTGTTTGGCATATTGAATGCATCATGGGTAGCTTTCCAGGCTCTGCCGTGCGGGCGAGATACTCTCGGTAGCTTGCCGGGCTCTCCCAGAGGGGCGGAGGAATTGAACACGAGTCGGCAATGTTTGCCGCTTGCAAGGCAAACGCCCTACTGCTGTGCTATTGCTCTAGCCCAACCCTCAACTGATAGTCTGTTAAATCACTGGGGTTCATTTCTCAAGAAAACTACAGGGGCCTTCTATCTTAGTGATGTGGGATGATCGATCTTAAATCTCCACATTCAGATCAGAAGGCACTGCTATGAAAGATAATTTACTGTTCTAAAGTATAAATTTAAAATAGCACTGCACTGCACTGTCCTCCTGCTGTTCAGCAAGTTGCTGGAGCAGGCCCAGTAATGTCTCCATTGTGAGACTTGTTGTTACTGTGTTTGGCATATTGAATACGTCATGGGGAGCTTGCCAGGCTTTGCCCTGCGGGCAAGATACTCTCAGTAGCTTGCTGGGCTCTCCAAGAGGGGCGAAGGAATCAGACCTGGCTCAGCTGGGCCGTCCATATGCAAGGCAAATGCCCTACCGCTGTGCTATCGCTCCAGCTCAAATTTAAAATAAAGAACATAAAAATAAACATAAGTCTTTCACATGTTTTTTGTGAAATCCAATTTCTTTAATTTGTTGGCTTCAGGATTTTAATAATAATAATAATAATAGTAATAATATTTTTGGAGATAACTGCTGCAAGTTCAGATATCCCAATTCTATAGTTAAGACATTCTGAAAAAACACAATCACCAAATCATTGTTGGTTTTTATGTCATCTTGAGACATCCTATCCTCAAGCAGTTTGCATTCCCATGATATATTAGGATTAATTAGCCTGATACCTATGTTGTCCCCTAGCCTGATCTTCTCTCCAGTCCCTTCCATTAAGAGGATGGATACCTCCATATGTCCTTTCTACCCCTCCACCCACTTCACCCTTCCATTTAGAGATTTTTGAATTTCTTATTTCCCCTGTAATGCTAACTGTGTTGGTTTCTGATGTTTTTAAGGGGTGCTTTAGTTCCTGCCCTATCTAAAGTAAAGGCCCTCCCGTTGATCATCGATTTGCTCGAGCGGGCCCAGTAACGTCTCCATTGGAGACTTTGTTGTTACTGTGTCTGGCATATCGAATACGTCACGGGGAGCTTGCCAGGCTCTGCCGTGCGGGCGAGATACTCTCGGTAGCTTGCCGGGCTCTCCGAGAGGGGCGGAGGAATCGAACTCGGGTCGGCCATGTTGGCTGCGTGCAAGGCAAACGCCCTACCGCTGTGCTATCGCTCCAGCCTCCCCTATCTATGGTTTTATTTTAGGGTGTTTTTTTTTTTGACTGTTAGGATGCTCCTTTTGTAATAATAGAAAATTCTTCTACCAATATCTTGGTGATGTCATCCTCAAACTTCTAATATATATATATATATATGTATATATATATATACACACACACACTTATGTAATATAGATAAAGTATATTTATAAATTTAACAGGCATTTATTAAACATAACTAGAACTATTTTCATTACTAAAGAAACATCAAAAATTTAAAAATGTAGAAATTTTCTGACTGTTGTTGGAAAGTCAACCTACATTTTCTTTGCCTTTGGAATCAGTTTATTATAACTTTATCAAACTAAGACTAAAAAGATATTCTAAATAAATGCCATGTAGGCCAATTCTACAGGGAAAAGATGGAATTATTTTTCTGCTTAGTACAGTTTTACATAAAAAGTTTTAAAAAATATTTAAAACAGATTTTTAACCCAAAGAGGATGGTAATTTGCGTTTTTTAAAATTATCTGCTTCAAACATACTCATAGGAATATGTGATGCGCTGTTAAATAATTGTTTTATTATTGCCCTATAATGTAGCTTCCTGTTTTCATTGCCCTATAATGTATTCTACTAAATGTCCAAGAAATAAAAGTAACTCATTTAATCTTTCTGATAATTAAATTGGCAGGATAACTATGAATTCTGGTAGCAAGTTTACTTGTTGTTTGTTTCTAGATTAGTAGGAGTATGCATATGCATATAAATGTAACTCTTCTGTGTCTTCATATTCTGAAAGTTGTCTCCATAGTGGGGAGGTGGACAGGACCTACAAATTCTCCCATGATTTCCCTAATTTTGCTGCTTTTCTGGGGTTAGGGACAGAACAGTAGGTTACTCAATTATGGTTTTTAATATTCCCAATTGGTAGGTGATAATCAGAGCCTATCTACCTGCACCTTCAAAGAACACTGTGATTGTCCCTACAAACCAAAGGAAAATAATGAAATCACTCATTCCCCAGTGTTGAGGATTTTGTATAATTAACCCTTTGATTAAGCTACATTGAGTTGTCTTTGCGACCCTTTGAGGAACTGCCTTGTTAGAATTTCAGGGTTATCGTACTAAATTACTATAATAAATCAGTCTGGAAAAATTGTCCTTAATTTACAATCAGTCTAGATATATGTGCTGTGAATAGCTCAAGGAAAAGATATCAGGGAAAGGAAAAATAACAAAAAATTGAAGGAAGAAGCAAAAGAATAGAGATGGAAAGTTTAAATCCAGAAGATTTTTTGAAAGCTAGGATTTCAATCCCTAGATGATAGAGGTCTGATAGCCAACTAGAGATAAATGATCTCTTAGAATGAAATGGCCTTGAGAATTTCTCACTGAGAAAGAGAAATGAACAACATAAAGAATAAAAACATTGAGGAAGCAGTCTCAAAGAAATAAAACCTCATGGGAAATAGCTTTGGCATTCACAATTGTTATTCAAAGATACACATCTTTTAGAGATGAAACGAGAGAACTGTAAACATCAGAAACATCACCAGACTTACTATTTTATCTTTTATTTAAATTGACTTCGAATAAAAGAGGGTAGGAAATGCTATGCTATTGAAGTTGGTATCAAAAAAAATCAAGAGAACATAAATTACAGTAAGCAGCTGGATACTAGCATATTCAGAAATGGATGATCATTTCTGAATTTTTATACTCCTCTGTAAGGAAAAGCCTTGGCCTTTCAACACATACTATGTAGATTTAAGGATTGGCTGCCAGTTTCTGTTTATTACATGATCACTCTTGCATTTGTCTAGAAATTCGGTTTGGAATTTATAGGTGATGGCTCATTCAGACCCCTAGCATGAAACAGATGGCATACACCAATGGTTTGCCACAGATAATTTATTAAAATGCTATGTGCAGAGGTATATTCATGATGATGGGAACTAGCAGGGGATCATAATGCAGTCAAACATTACCAAAAGCAAGAGGAATTTACAATCCCTACTTCCTTTATGCTACACAGTGCTCATCTTTCTGGTAGACTTTCTCTAGAAACTTTCCTTACTGCTTTGAAAATGTTCCTTCCTGGGAAATCCCAAATGGCAAAGAACTGTGGGGGAATTCAAGAATAAGGCAATAGGCAGAAAGAAACTAAAGACTCCTTTGTAGAGAAATAAAACTTTCCAGTAACTCAAGTAAGTTTGGAAGAGGATCCTCAATAGATGATTAATACAGAGAGCAACATCATTTTACTCTTATTTTCCAGTGTCTGCTTGTGAACAATTCAAAGTTTTACTTTGTTTTTTTCTTTTGTGCTTTTCAGCATTTTGAAGTCCCATTTTGTTTTAAAGTCCCCATCTCTCTGTGTACACTATATGTTTGTGCTTGCAGATTAACTTTGCTTGTTTCATTTAAGTTTTTATCATTTTAAAAATGATTATTTTATTTTATTTTTAATTTATAAATTTC